AACAGAAAAGTCAGTACGCCTGCAGCTGGCCACAACAGAAAAGTCAGGGTAACAAAGCAAAAGCAGAGGAAAGGGCAGGCACTGCAGTGGCCACAGCACACACGAAGAGAGACGGCAGAAAAAAGGAAAACCAACCTCCCTCACACAACCCCCTGCACATGCTCACGCCCCTCTGACTATAGCCAGGAGAGACAAGCCCCCGGAAACCTTAGCAGGTAAAGAGGATGGAAAAGCTACCAGGAATGACTCCCAAGGGGGCGCACCCACACAGAACTTGACATGAACTGAAAAACACCTCTCTTGGGTAAAGCACCTGAGACTTGGGGGGTCTTATGTATCCACTGCAGCACCTAGTAAGCATTACCCTAATATACCTGATAGATAAATATCATAAGTCATAAAACAGAAACAAGGATAGACTTTTGAGAATTTGTATTTATAAGATGTCACAGAAAAATCATCTTTTGGGGAGCCTGGCTGGCTCAGTCGGTAGAGCATGCAACTCTTGATCTCAGCTCAGGTCTTGATATCAGGGTCGTGAGTTCAAGCCCCACGTTGGGCTCCATGCTGGGCATGGAGTCCACTTTAAAAAAAATCATCTTTTAAATCAATATTCAGTGACTTTAGTAACAAAAATTCAATCTATGCTTAATTTTTCAGAACCAACTTATATTTGTCTGAGATTTTACTTATAAGTTCCAAATTAGCCTACTACTGTTTAATGAGCACTGGCAGAAGACACAGTGTTTGGGTCAGAGACAAAGGACCTTATGACTCATGGTGCAGCAAGCATCAGCATACTCACATTCGTTCCCCTGCCCCGAAGTCTCATGGTGGTGACATGATGGGCCCAGATGACACGTGCACATGCAATGGACTGCTTTACAGGAGAGGAACCCAGGGCAGATGGCCCAGCACTTTTTGGACAAGCAGCACAGAAGATAGATAAGCTCTGCCATCTGGCGCACTCAGTGAGAACTTGCAGGGAAGCTCAGGGCACAGAGCAAACTGCTTCTCCCAACAGTTCATTACAGTGTTAATATACACGTCAACCAGTTTTACTGTTACAGAGTATTTGGTACGGTATTATTCTTACCTATAAATATTCATATATGTGTAATGTTGACTTTAATGCTACTTTACGATCTTATTCAAAATAACAATCAATTTCAGTGTAC